ATCAATCCAATAATATTCATAAAGTATTTTCCAGAACGTGATCCAAAGGGGGGGGGGGGGGGGGGGTTCACAAGAATGAACGAATGAATTAATGAATGTTGTTCACATGACAGGTCTCATTTGAGACAAGGTGCAAACTCTTTGCATTGATCTTACTTATCAACTCGATTCATTTGCATTGGATTGTTACAAAAATAGTATCAAGGTGTCAAAAGTCGCCAAAATGAACGTTTTGAACAGATACCCCATTCTGCAAAGTTGAAAGAGAACCAGCCCTTTCTACTTTCGCACAAAGTTATTCAATCAAATCTATCACTTTCGCACACACAACCCCTTGTGCACTCACTCAATCAAATCAATCACTTATGTAAACATTATATTCATTTAATCATATATATATATATATATATAATAGAGAGTCTTGATTGATAGACTGATAGACTGAAGATGGGCAACACACAGTCGTTGTCATTTGATGACTACTTCAATCCGAGGACATCATCAGGAGCTGCATCAAGAGGTGGTGCGGACATTGATGATGAAGACGATGACGATGAACATTGTTCAAATGTAGCACATAGACATCGACGTGGAACAATAGATGGCACATCATCATCGTCGTCAAACACATCATCATTGCCATTGCCCTATCAACATAATCCGACAATCATCCGTCCACTTCATTCATCGTCGCCAACACCCTCACTTGGCAACAGCAACAACAATAGCAATAATAGTAGTGCCAATGGAAGCCCTTCATCACCAAACAGTCGATCGACAAACGCAAGAAACACCGAGTTGGAGAGTAGGAAGAAGCTGTTCTCGCGACGAATCAATGAGGAGTTGGGCAAAGGACGTCCAAAGCTACAGAGCACCAATCGTCATAGGCAAACCCCTATGACGGCCAGCGGTGATGGTTCAGACTCTGACTCCTCCTCACTCACTCAAAGCGATTGGAGTAACAACAACAGCGGTGGTCTATCAGCTTCATCACAACAAAAGAAGAAATGGGAGATGTTTGGTAAGTAGAGCCGGCGGGAGTGGGGAGGTGGCCTCGTGGCCAAAAGCAAGCAAGGAGTACCCTTCGTCTGTCTAACACATACCTGGCACAGTTCTCAAGTCAAGGGTACTGAAGGAACTATTGGCAACAGAGCGAGACTATGTCAAGTACATGCACACAATCCTCAATGTATGTGTCTCTCTGATCAATCATGGTGCCCCCTCACTCACTTACTCACTCATCACCAACCCATGGCATTCCATGTATAGATATACTTCCAACCTTTGAAGGCTTTGGCATTGGAGGCCAAGGAGGCCGAACGTCTGGCCGCAGCCAACTCTGCGACAACATCACCAACTAACACATCACCAACACCAACATCGCCGGACACTGTCACACCACCTCCCCCACTAAGCGATACGGGTGTCACTGGCAATGTCAATGGCAATGGCGGTGTAGATCAAACAACTGGAGGCGGCAACATTGGATTGGAGGCACAACAACAACAACAAGCCTCAAACGAATCATCATTCTTGAATAAGAGCGCAGTGTCCATGGCATCACCGACACCATCACTTCCAACTCAACCATCAAAGCGCGAACTTGAACTCCAAAAGGAGTTCAGCTTCATCATGGAGACACCATTGACGCTCGACGAGGTCAAGACCGTGTTCTCACAGATCGAGGTCATTCACCTGTACAACAGCCAACTGCTGGCCAAGTTTGAGCAGAGGCTTGGTGGCGAGCTCAACGAGTCGATACGCATTGGCGACGTGTTCCTTGACATTATCGACTTCCTCAAGGTACCCTACAGCCACTACATCATCAACTTCCCCGCCAGTCTCAAGATCCTCGAAGCGGCGTCCAAGCGACCGTCCTTCATGTTGTTCATTCAACAATGCAAGGTCAATGAGGCAGTTGCCAACAGGAACCTGCAGTCCTTTGTCAGCATGCCCATCCAGCGTATACCGCGCTACGTGCTACTGCTTCGCGAGCTGCTAAAGTACACACAGGACACCGACGCCGACTATGCCAACCTGTGCGGCGCGCTCAAGAAGATGGAGACTATTGCCGACCTCATCAACAAACAGATGCGCGAGGATGAGCATTCAAAAGTGGTCATCCACATCAGTCAGACGCTGCGACCGTCCATCGACACACTCGTTCAGCCTCATCGTCGACTGATCCGTGAGGGCGAGGGCAAGATCATCAATGCCGATGGCAACAACCATGAGGCGCAATACGGTACGATCAGGGCATCGCCCTTCCCATTCGCCCGAGCTTCCATACGCTACTTCTATCTGTTCAACGATCTGTTCATCGTCACCAAGCGCATGAAGGATCATTACCGCGTGGACAAGGTGATCAGTCTAGAGTACAGTACTATCGTGGACACTTACAAGAAGAACCTTGCTCAGTCGACTGGCGCTGGCGGTGGGGCAGCAACACCAGAGGCACAATGTAATACTAGTATCAACAACATGGATGGCAATGAAGATGGAAACAACATTCCAACATCCCCAACAAGTGAGTATCCATGGCGACCGACACTCGATTCCAAGGACATGGCACCATACTAACTCACTCACTCACTCAATCAATCAAGGTGGCGAGCGACACTTCTTCAAGCTTCATACATTGGATTGCGCAATAGTCATATGTCTGGGATCAGAGACGGAGAAGAATAATTGGAAGAATGACTTTATCAATGTGATCAATCATGTGACTGACAACACATTGTTGTTCAATCCAAAGTGGACAAAGAACAATTACATTTACAATCACAAACTGAAGCAACAACAACCATCATCATCGCCACAACATCATGGTCCACCACAATCATTCAAAGGCATCCTATCCATGAGTGCCAAGACACCTCCACCAACTCCACCTTCACCAATAACATCCACTACTCCTCCTCCTCCAGCGAACAACAACACACCCAATCCAGAAGACAACAACACACCATACAAACAACCAAGAAAGTTAAGCAACAATAGCAACAATAGTGGTAGTGGCAGTGGTAGTGTAAGCAGCAGTATAGGTAGCAGCTTCAGTAGTATCATCAATGGTATGGTAAATGGACGTCCTGGATCAGGACTGTCCAGCACCGATTCCATCGACCTCAGCGAGGACGAAGAGTTCAAAGTGCCCAATGTCTCAACACGATCCAGTTCCAGCTCCGTTTCCTCCTCGACCTCAACATCCACTGGCCTGTAATAATAATATAATATAACATTCATGAATGTAATCCATCCACATCCATTCATCCATCCATCACTTCCATCAAGTCCATTCAATCAATCAACCACATGATGTGGAACTTCAAGATGACCACCTCACCACTTGCTGACCAAGCTCAGTCAAGCATGAATGTTGAAAGTTTGAGCCACTTTGAACTTTTTTTGCACAACACTTGTGATGATCACCGATTCTTGCATTATCTCTCTTTGAGCGTGACTCATTCATCTTCATTCATTTACATTACATTATTAATATAACTTGATACATATTATATATATTACAACAACAATACAAATAGGATGTCTTTGAATCAATCAGCAGGTACAATGGCATTGGAGAAACCATGCACTATATTGGTGCATTATGATAAAGGTGATCCTCCCAATGTTAATGAGTTCAAACAGACATTTGAACATGGTGCCATTGAACAGAAGATTGATGCACTCAAACGTGTAATCCTCTATACTATCAATGGTGAGCCCATCCCACAACTCTTGATGCCAATCATCCTCTATGTGATGCCATCAAAGGATCACTACATCAAGAAGCTGTTGCTCATCTATTGGGAGGTCATCGAGAAGACCCACCTTGGCAAGCTCAAGTCCGAGATGATCCTTGTCTGGTATGTTTGATGATGATACATACTCGGTCCGCACGACATCCACTCACTCACATCACTCATTCAATCAATCAATCAATCAATCAATCAAACATAATAGTAACTCATTGCTTAATGACTTGACACATCCAAATGAGTTCATTCGTGGATCGACATTGAGATTCTTGTGCAAGTTGAGAGAGGCAGAGGTGCTGGAGCCATTGGTCGAGCAGGTGAGAAACAATCTCGAGTACAGACACGCCTACGTCAGAAGGAACGCCGTGTTGGCAATCTACAGCATCTACAACTCGTTCGAACATCTCATCCCCGACGGACCAGAGCTCGTCTACAACTTCCTCCTGGCCGAGGGTGACGCTTCCTGCAAGCGTAATGCCTTCATCATGCTGTTCAACTGTGCTCAAGACAAGGCCGTCGAATACCTCAGTGGCGTACTAGATCAGGTGCCATCATTCGGTGACATGCTTCAGTTTATCGTCGTGGAGCTCATCAGGAAGGTTTGCAAGACCAACCCAACTCAAAGAGTATGTTATGTTGTCCGCCCCTCTCTCATTGACGGAGCTCATTACTAACTTCCTCTTCCAAACAGTCCAAGTACATGAAGTGTATATTCACATTGCTCAACTCATCATCGTCGGCAGTCAAGTATGAGAGTGCTGGCACATTGCTGTCAATGTCATCGGCACCAACTGCCGTGCGTGGAGCTACCAGCGCCTACATCGACCTGCTGTGCAATGAGAGTGACAACAATGTCAAGATGATCGTACTCGACAAACTGATGGACATCAAGCAATCACACCCAAAGATCATGCAAGACTTGGTTATGGACATCCTCCGTGCCCTCTCAAGGTATGGACTGACATCCCTCACGCACTTCACTCTGACATACTAACACACGTCACCAACTCTCAGCCCCAACATTGACATCTGCAAGAAGATACTTAACATTGTATTGGACTCTATTACACCAAAGAACATTGATGAGATTATATTGGTACTGAAGAAGGAGATCAACAAGACACAGTCCAAGGAGTTTGACAAGGGATTGGACTACAGACATCTGCTCGTCAAGACCATTCACACCTCGTCGCTCAAGTATCCAGAGGTGCTGGGCAACGTCATCCCTCTGCTGATGGAGTTCCTCGGCGACCAGTACCTGCCCACCGCCGTCGACGTTGTCGTGTTTGTGCGCGAGGTCGCCGAGATCTACGAGAAGGAGCGCGTCGCTGTCGTGCGCAAGCTGATCGAGACGCTTCCATTGATCAAGATCTCCAAGGTGTACCGCGTGGCCACCTGGATCATCGCCGAGTACTCCTCGTCATTGGAGGAGCTCGAGCTGGCCTACAACTCGATCGATGCCGACCTCGAGGACATCCTCCGTCCCAAGCCCGTCGAGGAGACCACCCACGATAACAAGCCAAACAACAAGAAGAAGGTTGAGCAGACCTCGATCGCCAAGCTGATCACCGATGGCGACTGGTACCTGGCATCGTGCATCTCATCCTCACTCAGCAAAATGTACTTCAAGGCCGAGTCGTTTGGAATGACTGGCGAGGATCTCAACCGATTCCGTGCCAAGATCATGTTGGTCTTGGTTGTACTTATCAACCTGGCCAGGAAGTCGCAGGCCTCCACCTCCAAGTCCTCATACGAGAAGATCATCTCATGTATCTCAGTACTCTCTACTAATGATCAGACTGTTAGGTAAGTCGTGACCAACCTATCAATCAATCATTCACATACTTACCATCACTCACCCTTCACAGGAACATTTGGTTGAAGGACTGTCGCGAATCATTCTCTGAGTATCTGCAGCAGACCATTGCCAAGCAGAATGAGAACAACAAGAAGAACAGCAAGGAGGTTGTTATCAAGCCAAACGATATTGTCTCAATCAGACAGTTGAAGTCAAAGAAAGCATTTGGTCCAGTCGAGGTAGAGGATGGTATGTTATATTATTCAGTACCATTCAGGCAATCAATCATACTCACTCTTTCTCTCTCTCACTCCCCCAAGACTTGGGCAAGGCTGTTGGCACGGAGACTACACACGATCACTCTGAATACTCCAAGATATATCAATTGAGTGGATTCTCTGATCCAATCTACGCAGAGGCTCATCTTAGAGTGCATCAGTATGACATTGTATTGGGTATGTACCATTGATTGATTGATCAATCCACGATCCACTCATCAGTACTGACTGACCATCAATCAATCAATTCAAACTCAATGTAGAGATATCTGTATTTAATCAAACGAATGATACACTGCAGAATGTAACTTTAGAATTGATATCGTTGGGCGACCTCAAGATATGTGAACGTGTTGCGCCATTCACAATGGGACCTCGCGAGAAGACCAGTGTCAAGGCAAGCATCAAGGTGTCCTCCATTGACAATGGTGTCGTGTTGGGCACGATTGTGTTTGACATTGCCGGCTCGGTCAGCTCCATCTCTGACAAGAACTGTGTCATCCTTAACGAAATCAACATCGACATTATCGACTACATTCAACCAATCACTCATCTCTACACCGATGTGCTCTTCCGCAATCATTGGCTGGAGTTTGAGTGGGAGAACAAGATCCCAGTATACACAAACATAACGTAAGTGTTATGTCACCTGTCATCATGGACGACTCAAGTTGATCACTTACTGACTATGATCCATCAAACTATATTTAGTGACCTTGTTCAATACGTCCAACACATTTCCAAGATAACAAACATGGGAATATTGACACCAGATATTCATATGTCAAATGAGACTGGAATCTTGTCGGCCAACTTGTGCGCCAAGAGTGTGTTTGGTGAGGACGCCCTGGCAAACATCTGCATTGAGAAGCAAGCCGATGGCAAGATCGTTGGATACATTCGCATACGTTCCAAGGTACAAGGCATTGCCGTCAGTCTTGGTGGTCGCATCACATTGAAACAAAAGCAACTCCAGACCGCTGCATAAAACATCCACCCCAAACATCATCATCTCCACAACCAAATTCAGCCAATACACCTCTCTCTCTATCCACACCAATAAAGCATTGAAAGACATATCTTACTGAAATAGTGGCGAGATAATGAAAATAAAACAATAAATTTAAAAAAAATCGCAAATTTTTTCGGCTCGAATAAATTATTCCCTTTAATTCATAAAATATCCTCGTTGGTGTAGTTGGTAACACCTCAGTCTCTCACACTGATACCTCGGGTTCGATTCCCGAACGGGGAGTTCTTTTTTTGTTCTTTTGTAACATGAGGAACTTCCAGAGTCGAATGATTCGTTTTCCAAAGTGTTTTGATGTCGCTTCGCGCACTCAATCACTTCATTCGTTCATTCAT